AATAAATTGTTGTCACAGTTTGACTCAGGTCCGACAACAATGCTCTCGATCCCCTCCCCCCCTCACCCAGGTAGGGAAGGAGAGAGAGAAAAAGAGAGAGACTTGGCTGGATTGAAAACTAAACTACACAGCTTTAATTAAACACTAATGAATGATATAAGAAAAAATATATACAATTATATACAAATATGTTCAGGTATGTGCAAAAGCCTCTCGCCTCCCCCCACCCCCAGCAACTCCCACAGCAATCTCCCCTGAGCTGGAACAGTCCTGAGAAATTCCAGAGCTGCTGCTGGAGAAAGGCAGAGAGTGATGGGTGTCAGGAGAGCTCAAGCCTAAGGGTCGACGGTGATGGATGAACAGAGTCCTCCCTGGACACCGGCCATGGACGGAAGAGAAGAGAAAAAGAAGCAGGAAGGAAGTTGTCTTCTGTGATCTCTGACCTTCCTCTGAGCTTATGTAGATATATGGAATGGAGTATCTCTGGCCCATTTTGCTGTCTGTCTAACTCAGCCTCCTACGGGGGGGGGGTGGGGGGGTCATAGATCTCCCTGCAGGGTCTGCTCCTGCAGATTAAAGGTGTGACCTTGAAGACCCAGCAGTTTGAAAAACATTCCATTGTCTTATCAGCCTAGCTAGAACACACTGTTGCTAGTTAAAAGAAAGCTCACTGAAGGAAAAACAATCATCAAAAGGATATAAGAAGACAGGACAGATTGCAGTGATCAGCTCAGGCAGACATTGATACTGACTGGCTCTGTTTTACATGTGACTGGCCCACTTTATACCCCTTTCTGTCTACCCTCCCCTTTGTTTCTACCTGCTTTCCCTTCCCCCTGCATGTGTCTTAATCGGTTTGTATGGATCTATTGATTCCCTTACCCCTCCCAATCTCATGTCTGGGTTCTCTCCCCTAGTTTACAATCTTATCAGTTGCAAAGGACACACTTCTCAGGTGGATGTAAAGTCATTAGGAGGAAAAATAAAAATAATAAATGGAGGTTGCTGTGGCAGTAAGAGTCCCTATACTTTTTTTAAATGTGTGTTTAGGCTTAAGGAAAAATAAAACTATAATGCTATCTCTCAAAACACTTCATAGGAATAAGGAGTTTCTCTTCTCTGTCAAATCTCTACTTGCATGTTACCTCAGTGGGTGGTCTCATTGGTGATAGTTTTATGACTATTCACATCTGGTTTAATTCTTCCCACACTTCTCTGGTGAGATGAATGAGAATTTGCTTGAGGATTCAAAGAGATGAACTTGATAATGTCATATGCAGGTACATACAAGCAGTAATCCTGTGTAACCAAACATACTGTCTGTGCTGAAATTGACATAGAAAGACAAGTTTGAAAGCCAAAACATTGCAGATAGGATTTGAAAATTTTACTTTTTGGTTTCCATGGTATTAGTAAAAGCATAATTACAAGGAAAAGTGAGTCTTAAAAGATACTAACATTAACAGCTGCATTTGAACACATTTACTGTTTTAAACCTATAGCTGTTAAGATATAGGATTAGAATGTGATTTAAAGTATAAGAATACATGTCAAGTGATCAACTCTGAATTATGTGTTTTGTGATTTGTGTAAAGTTGGTTGTGTTTGGTTTTTTTCCTCACTTTGTTGTTTCAGATTTGTCCAATATGTGCAGCATTACCTGGAGGGGATCCTAATCATGTCACAGATGATTTTGCAGCTCATCTTACACTGGAACACAGAGCTCCTAGAGATTTAATATCCTTTCTTAAGTTGAGGGAAAAGGGATAGACTGTTTTTTATCATAGCTGTAACTACTTGTTTTGACTTCTGTAGTCAAGTGGCTACATCACTTTTGTTTATTGTTTAGAATTGATGTTTAGTTACAGGGGATCTATATGTCTGAAATTTTTATATGTGTATATACTTATAAGTATCAGACTGTGAATTGACAACGTGGGTGTGTATTTTTGTTTTATTCCTGATAGCAAAACCTTTTAAAGATGTTCTTGACACCCAGCTGCTTCTTTGTGCACTGCAGTTTTTAACCTTCTTGGTAATTAGTTCTAATGCCATTTTGAGGATGGGAAAGCAGCAATCCACATGCAATAGTGTGTTATAGATAATTATGAGACTGAAAGCAGTAAATTTCAACAAAAGCAAATGTATTAGAGAATGCTTTGAACTCTTAAATTGAGTGATTTTAACTGTTTGATCAGTTTTATCACTATATGTCAATACGTAGTTTCAGCCTATTATTTGACTTTTTTTTAAAAGATATAATTAGAAGAGCTATCAGGAGACTTCCTAGGGATTAGAGCTGTCTTTCAGTTACCTGCAGATTGTAGTGATATAACTGCTCTCAATGACTGAAGAGCTCAAACTGTCAGTTTCTTTGCACTTTAAGTACCATTTTCTTTTGCGTTACTTGGTCTTTGGAATAGTAACGTGGCTAGTTTTTTCTGTACAAACACCTACTACATATTTTCAGAAGGTACTCTTACTTCATGGAAGTACAGGCCATCATGAAAACTCTCATTAAGTGATCTCTATAAATTATTTATCTCATCACCGTTTGACTCAGGTCCGACAACAATGCTCTTGGTCCCCTCCCACCCAGGTAGGGAAGGAGAGAGAGAACAAGAGAGAGACTTGGCTGGATTGAAAACTAAACTACACAGCTTTAATTAAACACTAATCATAGAATCATTAAGGTTGGAAGGGACCTTAAGGATCATCAAACACTAATGATACAAGAAAATATATAGAATTATATACAAATATGTTCAGATATGTGCAAAAGCCTCTCGCCTCCCCCCACCCCCAGCAACTCCCACAGCACTCCCCTGAGCTGGGAACAGTTCCAAAAAAACCCAGAGCTGCTGGAGAAAGCAGAGTGATGAGGGTCAGGAGATGCACAGCCTAGGGGTCGACGGTGATGGATAGATGGAGTCCTCCCTGGACACCAGCCATGGATGGAAGAGAAGGGAAGAAGAAAAAGGAAGGAAGTTGTCTTCTGTGATCTCTGACCTTCCTCTGAGCTTACGTAGATATATGGAATGGAATATCTCTGGCCAATTTTGCTGTCTGTCTAACTCAGCCTCCTACTGGGGGGTCACAGATCTCCCCGTAGTGTCTGAGCCGGCAGAGTGAAGGTGCGACCTTGAAGACCCAGCAGTTAGAAAAACATTCCTCTCTTATCAGCCTTAGCTGGAAGGCTCTGTGACTAGTTAAAAGAAAGCTTACTGAAGGAAAAAAAAAATCAATAAAAGGATAATTGGCTTAATCCTGGCTTAAACCAGGACACTCATTTTAAAAAAATACTCTCCTAGTGTAATTTGATAGTGTTTTTTTTTTTTCAGGGCTTCTTTAAAGAACAAAAAAAAGGCCTAACAACTCAAGTTCATTATATCTACTGCTATCAACATTAGAGGAAATGGTTTCACTTTGGTTGTGATCTGTATTTACATTTACATTTGTTAGTATTTAAATTGTCAGTCCCAATTACTTCCAATTGAAGTGGATGAGGTGTTCCATTAGCTTCTGGAGCTTTTCCTTCCCCTCCCATATCAGTGACATCAGATAACTTTTAATTGGGAAAGGTGTGTTTATTACTAACTATAGAAGAGCTAGAGAAATCAGAATAATTTTTTCAGTTACTGAGTAAGGCCACAGTGTCAGTCATCACAAATCTGATGGGGGGAGCTTTATAAATTGAACCACATTTTAAATAATATTTTAAATAATTATAGAAAATGCATGTGGAAGTTTCTGTACAGTGTTGCTTTAGAAATCAGTGTTGCCAAGTCCTCAAAATTTGATAGGGAATTTTTTTCTGGATTAGTTTAATGTGCTATTTCATTTCTTCTGACAGTTAAGACTAAAGGGAAGAAAAAGTTGCTAGCAGTTTAGGAAAATATATTGTCTTCTGTGTAGCAGAGTTTTTTAAGCTGTTTTAAATGGCTGCACATATTTCTTGTGAAGAATCCTATGCAGCCACCTCAAGATATCAACTTTATTCTTGGATACTGGACAGCTCTTTAAATTTCAGGTTCTTTCTTAAACCATTTTCAACTGTTTTACTGTTTAAAACATTACTTTAGTCTGGACAATCTAAATGGTTCTAGCTTGGTTGTTTTCACTATATGTTTACAATGAGTTAAGAGTTCCATATTCTTTTCTAACCTCAGCATAGTAGGGTGAGACATCAATATACTCTTAACTAATATTTAAGTAATGTTGTTTATCTTGAAAACACTTTGAAAGGTGCAGTTACCAAGCTTCTAAGATCCTTTTCTAAATGAGACCAAGACTGGACTTTTTCAAAGGATTTACTTTAAGGATGTTCTATTTATCTTATTTCCCAAGTTTACTTTAAACAAATCCCAAAATGGGGGCATTTTTCTGTCAAATGTAGCTATGGAAAGCTTCCCAAGCTGCATGAGAGCAGTAGTCAATCAGTAAAACATTAGTGACAATGTTTTGTCACAACCAATATGTCCAGTTTCAAGAGATTCAAAGGACGAATAAACCAATCTGTACTAGACAACTATATTCTGTCCCAAGGGAGATTTTTTCTCCCCTCCTAAATCCTGCAACTGAAATACTATAGCGTAGTAGATTTGAAAGTCAATTCTTCCTGAAAGAATTATCTGGATATTCTTACTTGCCAAAAGAAGTCTAATAATTTTTCAGTCTTAAATTTATCAACTCAGTGATATAATGAGGAAATTAATTCTACACCATAATTGTATGTTGTGTCATAAGTATATTGGGCACCCAGTCTGATAAAAATAATAGATTTTATACAAGTAATAAGCATGCTATTTTTGAAAATAAGAAAAATTGAGATAAGGTGAGCTAAAGCTGCTAATTTAAAAACTGGAAAAATAAGATATGCCCAAGTACATTATTTCCTAGCTTAGCTAATTGTACTAGTGCTTCTTAAGATAAAAGGAAGCTTTAATTAGACTGTCTTGGGACATATGTTAACACTGTTCTGGGAAAGATCATCTTTAAATAATTTGCTGATAGTCTTTTAGTATGTATGAAAAAGCTTATCTTTCAAGTCATAGCTTTTATAGACATCTAAAAAATGTGAAAAGTAAAGTGAAAGGGCTTGTTTTCAAAATTGATGCAAATGGAATTTGTATGGAGAAAGTGAGAGAAGATGAAGCAAAGGGGTATGACAGAAGTGCTGAATCCTCCATTGACCTTCAATTCCTTGAAGACTGGAGTAGGTGAAATTCCTTGGATAAAATGCAATAATTACTGTGTGTTCTAGGTAAGAATGGCAATAAAACTTTGAAGATTATTTTCAGTATTTAAATACCCTTCTTTCCCATTTTTTAATTTGAAATCTTTATGTCTCTTGAGTAATGTTTTCTGCTGAATATGCATCATCAGTTTAAATTACCTAGTAGAAAACTTTGATCCAGAAGGCAGGAAATCCATCCTGACATTTTTTTACACATGATAAAAAAGCCTGGGAAAGATGAATAGGTCTGAATGGCAACATAGCTATGATTGCATTACATTTATAAAGTTGAATCATTGTTCTATGAATGAAGAATTGTGTGTTGCCTGTTTATTCCACCCTGTAAATGTTCTTGCTGTTTAACACTGGATAGCAAAAGACTTTTCTTAACTGTTTGATTACGATGAGTCTAGCGGCGTTCGGCACGTACGTAGAATGTTTCACCCAGGCCGGGGTTTGGGAGGCCCCCGTGCACGTAGATCAAACATGCACTTTACTAGCAGTTCCACTGGTGGGCTCTCAACTTCTCAGAGTTCATACTCTCCAAGCAATAGAGAAACCATGGATCCTATAGCTGGTAAGAGCCGTAACTACTGATTTTAGGTCAGAGTCCTTGAATAGATTTTGAAACAAAATCCAATATGATAATAGTTATCTTGTTTTTATGTTTTGAAAAAAAAAAAACTTTCATAAAATGTCGTAATTGATGCATGTTTACTGATTAAAAGTATCTTTAATTGGATTGTTTGCAGGGATTGAACCTGGAACTTTTAAAATTAAAAATACTGCCCCTTTAGCTTGTGCTCTTAAATTTAGAGACTTCTGGGCTCATTCCCATGACTGACCTGTTCACAGGTGGTATTAAAGAATAGTTGAGGTTGAAAGGGACCTTTCAAGATTATCTAATCCAACCCCTCTCAAGCAGGGCCATGTAGCACAGGTTGCCCAGGACCATGTCCAGTCAGGTTTTGAGTATCTCCATGGATGAACTGTACAACCTCTCTGGGCAACCTCTTACAGCGTTTGACCTCCCTCACACTAAAAAGTGTTCTCTTGTGTTCAGATCAATTTCATTTGGTTTTTCCTATTACCTCTTGTCCTGTCAGTGGGCAGTACAGAGAAGAGTCTGGCTCCCTTTCCTTCATTCCCTCCCATCAGGTATTTATATACATTAATAAGATTCCTCCCTCTTGAGCCTTCTCTTATCCAAGCTAGAGTCCCAAGTCTCTTAGCCTCTCCTCATATAATATGTTTGTATGTATTTTTAAATGTAATTGTTTCTAACCACCATTACCTGCTTCAATGCATCTAGCTTTAATTTGACATGTGCATAGAGATGAATCTTAATTTTTTTTAGCACAAACCAAGTGCTGTACTTAAGTTCATTAAGATGAAATTAGTTCAATTGGAATATTATCAATAGACATTTAAAATGTGCTCAGTTTACTTTCAGATTACAGTTTGGATGACAGGTTTCCTCATTTTTAGGAGGTCTTTTAACTCTTTTAAAATTATTAAATGCCTGTATTTTAAAAAGCATTTTATATAGAGCTGAGCAACAGCCCTGACTTAAGGATATGCAAGGCCTCAATTCAACCTCAAGCTGATTGACACAAGTAACTCACAAGATGAAGGAGACTGTACCCTTGCCCCTGCTCAGGGCAGAAGGAAGAACCTTCCCCTAAAGTGCCCCTGCATAACAAAGATGATGCTCTGGGGTTGGAGAACAAAGAGCATATGAGTGTGGAGAACGGTTGCGGAAACATCCTGACAGCCGGTAGCCCCCCGGTACCGGCCCACGACAATGAGTAACGGACAAAATCCAGGAAAAGCCGACCATGCAAAAACTTGATCCAACCATCTACCCGCATTAGAACCAATGCTACCAGAAAAGCATGTAAAGTATTAGTAAATGGAGACTCCTTACTGTGAGGCACCAAAGCACCCATTTGCCCTCCAGACAATTTCCCTAGAAATGTTTGCTGCCTACCAGGAGCTCACATTTGCAGTGTCACCAAGATGCTGCCGAACTTGGCAAACCCTACATATTATCATCTCCTGCTATTCCACGTAGGGTCCAATGATACTGCGATGAGGGAAAATTAGAACCATCAAAAGAGGCTATGTGTAACTCAGAGCAATGATAAAAGGATCTGGAGCACCTGCGGTGTTTTCCACTTTCTCAGACAAAGTAAGGGGTTCAGGAAGGAGGATCCAAACTGAACAAGTGAATGCCTGGCTGCATGGCTGGTGCCATACTCAAGGTTTTAGCTTCATGGATCTACCTTTGAGAAGCTGAGTCAGTTGGTAGCTCATGGGATTCACCTGACCAAGTGGGGCAAGAGGGTCTTCACTAACAAGCTGACCAGACTTATAGGGAGGGCTTTAAACTATACTTAGCAGAGGAAGAGTCCTAAGCACCAGACAAGAGCCAGGGGCTGCTGATGTGTTAGGAACCAACAGGGAAACACTTATGAAAAGCCTCAAAGGATTAGGGCATCTTCCTCTAAAAAGTGACAGGGTCAATAGCCCAGCATGGCAAAGTAAGGACCACCTGGTAGAATTAAAATGTAAGAGGGCGTGTTGGTTTGGTGTGGCACAGTTTTGGTAGCGGGGGAGGGACCACAGGGGTGGCTCCTGTGAGGAGCTGCTGAAAGTTCCCATGGCTCCAAAATCCAGCTCCACCTCTGGCTAAGACCGAGCCCATCAGTGACAGTGGATGTGCCTCTGTGATTAACATATTCAAAAGGAGAAACGAACCGATATAAGACCTGCAGGGCAGAGGAGATGGGGAGATGAGAGCAATGCTAGAGTAGAGATACCAAGGTCGGTGAGGAAGGAGGGGGAGGAGGTGCCTGAGCAGAGGTTCACCTGCAGCTCATGGTTAGACGTCAGACTGCCTCCCTGCAGCCCATGAAGGACCATGGTGAGAGCAGATGTGGACCTGCAGCTGTGGAGGACCCCATGCCAGGGGAGGTGACTGTGCCTGAAGCAGGCTGTGACTGTGTGGGAAGCTCACGCTGAAGCAGTCTGTTCCTGATGGACTGCACTTTGTGGGAGGGACTCATGTTGGACGTGTTTGTGAAGGACTCTCTCCCATGGGAGGGACCCCATGTTTGAGTAGGGGAAGACTGTGAGGAGTCCTCCCTGAAGAAGAAGGAGCAGCAGTAAACAACGTGTGACAAACTGGCTGTAAATCCCATTCCCTGTCCCCCTGTGCCACTGGCAGGGAGGAGGTAGAGAAATCGGGAGCAAAGTAATTTGGACCTGGGAACAAGGGAGGGGTGGGGAGAGGTATTTAAGCTCTGGTTTTTGTTTTGTCTTTGTCTTGTTTGCATCTGATTAGTGATAAATTAAATTGATTTTTTTTCCCCAATTTGAGTGTTTTGCTTGTGACCATAATTGGTGAGTGAACCCTCCCTGTCCTTGTCTCAACCCACAGGCTTTTAGTTGGATTTTCTCCTCCCCATCCCACAGTGGGGGAAAGGGTGAGCAAGTGACCGTGTGGTTCTTTGTTGCTGGATGGGCCTAAACCACAACAGAGGGAAATCCATAGGCAGTGGAGCCAGGGGCATGTATCCTAGGAAAAATATAGAGACACTGCCTGGATGTGTAGAAATGGGACCAGGAAAGCTAAGGTGCAGTTGGAGCTGAATTTGGCAAGAATATTAATAGCTTCTACAGGTGCATTTGCCAGAAAAGAAAGATTAAAAAATAATGTACCTATCCCAAATAAATCAGACATGCGAACTAGCGACAACCCATATGGAGAAGGTGGAGGTACTCAACAATTTTTTGCCTCAGTTTTCAATGAAAACATCTCTCACACCCCTGAACCTCAGGGAAAGGACTGGGGGAAATAAGTCCCTCCCATTTTAGTAGAAGAAGAGGTTTGAGACCACCTGAGGAAACTAGATATACACTGGTCCATGAGATGCACCTCAGGGTCCTAAGGAAATTGCTGAAATAATTGCTGAGCCTCTCTGCATATTTGAAAAGTCATGGCAATCAGGCAAAGTCCTCAGGAACTGGAAAAAGGAAAACATTATGACTATTTTTTAAAAGGGTAATAAGGAGGTCCCTGGGAACACCCGACCAGTCAGCCTCACCTCTGTGCCCAGTAAGATCACTGAACAGATCCTCCTGGAAGCTAGGTCAAGGCATATGGAAGGCAGAGAAGTGATTCAAGACAGCCAGCATGGCTTCAGCAAGGGCAGATTGTGCCCAACTAATCTGGTGGTTTTCCACGATGGAGTGACTGCATCAGTGGACAAGGGAAGAGATACGGATGTCATCTACCTGGACTTCTGCAAGGCCTTTGATATGGTCCCCCACAACATTCTTGCCTCTAATTTGGAAAGATATAGGTTTGATGGAAATACCATTAGATTGATAAAGAACTGGCTGGATGACTGTACCAAAGAGGTACAGTCAATGGCTCACTATCCAAGTGGAAACCAGTAACAGGTGGTGTCCCTCAAGTGTCCTTACTGAGACCAGTAGTATTAAATATCTCCATCAACGATGTACACAGTAGGATTGAGTGCATCCTCGGCAAGTTTGCAGACAATACCAAGCTGAGCGGTGCAGCTGATTCGTTAGAGGGAAGGGATGACACACAGAGGGACCTTAACAGGCTTGAGGAGTGGACCCATGGGAACCTCATGATGTTCAACAAGGCCAAGTGCAAGGTCCTGTGTCCAGTGTGTGTCCAACTTGGGAGTCAGCAGTGCAAGAAAGACATTAACCTGTTAGAGAGGGTTCAGAGGAGGATCACAGAAATGATCAGGGGTCTGGAACAACTCTCCTATGAAGACAAGCTGAGAGAGTTGGGGTTGTTCAGCCTGGAGAAGAGAAGGCTCTGGGGAGACTTTATTGCAGCATTTCAATACTTAAAGGGGGCTTATAAGAAAGACAGAAACTTTTTTATCAGGGTTTGTAGTGACAAGACTAGGGGCAATGGTTACAAAGTGAAAGAGAGTAGGAATAGATTGGACATAAGAAAGATGTTTTTTAAAATGAGGGTGGTGAGACACTGGGATAGGTTGCCCAGAGAAGTTGAAGACATTCAAGGCCAGGCTAGATGGGGCTTCAAGCAACCTGATCTAGTAAAAGATGTTCCTGATCATGACAGGGGAGTTGGACTAGATGATCTTTTTAAAGGTCTCTTCCAACTCAAACCATTATTTGATTTCTGTGCCATATTTTGGGTCAGGTTTAAGAGAATTTTCAAGGGAAAGATGTCTCATTTTAACTTCTAACAATTATAGAGGCATGTTGTTAGGATTTACAGATATAATCTGTAAGTATTTTTTCAACTTTGTGCATTCTGTATAGAGGTAAAAATTAAAATTGACCAAGAAGTTGATTTTTAAAAGAGCTATACTTTGTCCTAATGTAAAATCTTAAGACATCAGTCTTACACTTGTATAGTGAAAGGTGGTGTCAGGGAAACTTAAGAACTTCCTGCACTTCTCTAAGTTCCTTCTACTGTCTGCCTTTGCTTCAGATCCTGGAAGGACATGAACGTTTAAACTGGAGCTTCTTATTGTTAGGCTATGATTTCTTGAAAGGGAGTGAACCAACTTAAGAGTGTGCTGCTTTTGAAAGAGGAAGCTGCAGCTTCAGTTCTGTTAAACTGTACTCAAAGTGATCTTACAAACAGTAAGGATAAATACATTTGTCTTACCTGGCAGTGTTATAAGTCTTCCTTCGTATTGAGGTAATAATTAGTACATACTACCAGAAGTTAGAACTTCTGCTTGTAACAGACCTGTAAACATGATTTATTTATTTTTCTTCTTGTGGTGGTTATCAGTAATTAGTGAAATAATTATTATTGGTAGTTAATCTTGATATGATTAGCTGTGCTGATTAAAAGTGACTTGAGCATTTACTGTTGGCATTCCAAGTGTTCCTGATGCAAAGAGCTATTGCACTGTCCTTTATTCCCCTAAGAAAATCCTATTTTCAAAGGATTATATCTTTAAAGTAAGATGGAAGGAACATTTTATGACCTGTAATAACAACTTGCAACTTTAATGAAGGTTGGATGAATAGGGGAACCAAACAAGCTATTACTTCTGCCCTCCTTGCATCAAACACAACAAAGTAGTACTTGCAACTTTCTGTGGAATATAATCTGTAGTAAATCACTGAGCAATAACTTCTTATTAAGGCTTATTTTGGGAAATGGTTAGCATGGACAGAATTTGACACAATCTTGAAATTTGGAAGAAAGGAATCCAGGTTAGACTTATTTATTTCATTTTCTTATCATTAGAATTTATCTTTTTCCAGCAGAGGTTGAAAGTCTCACAAAAAGCCCTATTGTGGCAAAATGTTTTACATATAATACAACATTTGAAAAGCCTAGTGAATATTTTCTAAAACTGTCTGAAATTATGCTGTTTGTCATTTCTCCAGCAAAACTTCCCTCTGGAATATGCATTGAAGGTGCATGGGGGATATAAAGTCACCAACAGAATTGAAGTGGCTTCTTAGTCAGTAACTATTTTGACTTGTGGATAAATTTTTAGAGAATTGTTACACAGGATATTGCTTATATGGTACTCCCCATAAGTTGACTCTTATTGGTTTTTTAAAGTTTTAAGCTTTGACTTTCATATTTATGGACATATTTATGGTGTTGTGTGATGGGTATTTAAGCAAATTTCACTGTAGAAACTTCTCTCTTTTCTGGCAGAGCTTTTATCTCAGTTATCAGGCGTGAGACGTTCTGCAGGGCAGCTCAATTCTTCTGGCCCTTCTGCTTCTCAGTTACAGCAGCTGCAGATGCAACTGCAGTTGGAAAGACAACATGCACAGGCAGCAAGACAACAGCTGGAGACTGCACGCAATGCAACTAGACGCACTAACACAAGCAGCATCCCCACTACTCTTACACAATCTATAGCAGCAACCAATACATCTAACACAGAAAGCAATCAGTCAACTATACAGAATTCCCAGTTTCTTCTTATGAGGTAACTTGATCTGTGAGTTTAACTCTTCTGCCATTTCTGTTTTCCTTAGTCATATTATGGACACAGAGTTCAGTGAAACTACTGCCAGATCCCTAATGAAGTTTGGAGTTGAGATACTATGCTTTTTGTTGCATTTGAAACATCTCCTTTTCAACCCTGCTGTGTGTTTGTTCCTAGGCAATGGATAAATATTACTTGCTGTTTCTCATTTTGAAGAGAAACAGAGGGGATATTACTTTGGCAAACTGCTTGTTTGCCCTACTACTGATAAACAAGAGCCTTTACAATAATATGTTTCAAATTTTTATGCTGATAATGTGAGGGGAGAGAACTTAAAAGGTAGTTTCGTTTAATAGGAAATTAATATTTAATGAAGGCTGAAGGTTTAATAGAGGTTTATATATAAATATTTTGGATTTAAAAAAGCAAATAAGGAGTGTGCTATTAATAAGCAGAATATGTATCCATTTCAGAAAGTATAGTTAGATCCTAGAATTCTATAGAATAGAATAGTTTAGTTGGAAGGGACCTACAATGATCATCTAGTCTATTCTGCTATAGAAGAGTTGTCCACTCTCCCTCCAGCTCTTTTAGGAAATTTGGAATATTGATCTTCTGGATTCAAGGGGAGGGTTTTTTTTTTCAATTAGATGTTGAGAAAGAGCACAAGCATTTAAGCAGTCTCTGTTTCTAGAAATCTGAGTTGGGACAAATTATTGCTGTCATGCTGATTTTTGTGTGAATTTTGTGATAATATCTCAATCCAAAACTTAATATCTTTGATGAAGGTATCTGCAAATGTCAGTCACTGATCTTGTGAGCTAGGATAGAACTGGAGCAAGCCATTTCCTTGCTTCTATTAGATGATAGTGCATGCAATGGTAAGTGAAGTGAATGATGCACTGTGCTTGGGAATCTCTGGGCTTTATGTGTGTAGTGATGTATTTTGTGTCAGGCTTACATTTAGAAGCTGTCCTGGGGACTAAATGAGCACTAGAGAATTTTAACACCCCTTAAAACAAACCCTCTTTGAAGGAGAAGAAACTTCAGAAATAGCTATTTTTTTCCTTCGGCCTTAGAATCCACTTCTATGAAGTTTTTTGAAGCACCTAGGAACAAGTTTGTTAAATGTCTGTATTCTTGTATCAGGAGTGCCAGGTGTTGCCAGATCTGTACATGTCAGAAGAAGTGCAGCAGTACCTAGGTTGTTTCTCAAAGGAATGGCTTTCAGATGTTATTCAGCATGCATCAGTCTAGCTGTTTAGGCAATTAGTGAAAGCCCATTTTCTTGATTATACTACTAAGCCTGTCTTCTCTCTTTCTGTGATGCTATGCAGATTGAATGATCCTAAGATGTCAGAAGCAGAGCGTCAGTCAAAGGAAAGTGAACGGGCAGACCGCAGCTTGTTTGTTCAAGAGCTTCTACTGTCCACTTTGATGCAGGAAGAAAGTTCCTCCTCAGATGAGGATGAACGGGGAGAGATTGCTGATTTTGGTGCTATGGGCTGTGTAGATATTATGCCTCTAGATGTTGCTTTAGAAAACCTAAATTTAAAAGAGAGTAATACAAGAAATGAGCCTCCTCTTTGATGGCATCCCACTTAGCAGACAATGTCCTCTGTGCTGTATTTGCCAATGAAAGTGGACAATAACTATCTTGGGTTTGTTTTGGTGATTGTAATTTCAGGTTTGTCACTCTTGTTACATTGTGTACATTCACAGGAAAAGAGAAAAGATATATACAATAATCATTTCCACTTAACCAGTTTTTACTTTTAGCAGGTAATATAGGTTGCAGTGAGGAGAAAAAAGCTCTGCGTCCTGTAGCTTGACATGCAAAAAACTCTCCTGATACTCCACATTCAAACTGAAGAGTAAAAAATGAAAAATCTCTAATGAAGCTGCTGTGTGTATTTATGAATATTAATGAATAAAAATTGCTTGGATGGTTTACCTTAACTACTGCATGGGTTTTTTTTGCAGTGTGCATGAGTTTTAGTGACCATGTCATTTAAAAAATGCAAGTACAAGGAGTAAAAATATAAAATCCCAAAGCTTTCCTATTATTCAAGTCATATGACAAAATAGAAAATAATATATTAATGCTCACTAGCAGTTTGTGGCTGTGAAGTAGCCTTTGAGTAACACATGACCAATGACCTTTTTATGTGTTCTCTCTGCATATTAATGTAAACTCTGCAGTGGACTATATTTTTGCTTCCAGAGTATGACATTTTGCTATATCGTGACTGCTATGTTGCCCTATTAGACGACATGTCCATGTAGAATCGAACTTTGTATTCATCTGTAGGAGACAAAAAACAAAGGCCACTACTGAAATCTACCACAAAGGGCTTCTGTGTGCCCTAAACCCAAATTTTGTTCACCTTTCTTTAAAGTTTTCCTTTTTGTGTTAATTATACTTTATTTAGGTGTAAATGATTTAAATATTCACTGTTGGGGGGGGTTTAACCTGGATTATGTTGTCTTAGTTCTAAGCCTTCACAGTCCTTATTATTTTTAATTATTTATGTATTTGCTTCATAGTTTGCAGAGACTCCTTAGTATCAGGAGAGCTTAAGGATTTGACTTCCCAGATTTCTTCATATGTTGCAACTGAATTCTTAATGCTAACTTCCTATCAACCTTCATTTATTGGATTTTTGGATTATGTTTCTGACATAAAAAATAAAGCCTTTTTAATTGAGTCATGCTACCTTTTTGCCTATACTGTTAATCCTATAGATTTTTTTTGGTATGTATTATTATAATAGCCCTAAGGCAAGGGACAGCAAGGCTTTAGTTATTTGGAATGTAAGGTTAGTTTGTAAAGATAAAAATGCACAGAATTTATGAAAAATTAGGCTTGAAAACCTGATGATGTTCCCAAGAGAACTGCAAAATGTGTGTTAATGTAAGATAATAGCAACAAAATAACTATGCCATGGGTTGACATTTGAATTCCATTCTCATTTTCTCAATTCACAAATTCTGATTGTTTCCATTTAGTACTGTATTAGTACTGTTTTTCTTTTAGTCTCTGCAACAGAAAATGTTTTAAGGTAAGTTTTTACACTAGTCTTCTGGTTATCTCAGGAGTTGCCCTCAATAAAGATTCATTTTTGATTGCTGAGACGAACTGCTCCGCTGCAGGCAGTCCGTGCCGGGAGTAGAAAATCGGCGATAAAGGGCCTTTTTCTGAGCTCTCTGGAGCCCGGAACTAGCCCAGACAGCACCGGGGGCAGGTCGGCTCGTCAGAGTGCTCCGATGGTGGCGTGGGCGGAGCATCACCCCACTCCCACAAAAGCACCCCTGAGGAGCACAGGTGACAAGGATCGTGGCACGTCAGAGGGGCATGACATGGCAGTTCAAGTGGGGAAGGAGCGGGAGGCAGAATGGTGTTGACTAGGAGGGCCAGGGCTGCAGCTCCGGCCGGGGAATCGTCACTCTCCACCCTGAGAGTGGCCAGTGTGTCCACCCAAACGGAGCTCCTGGGGTGTGATGCTGCTGTGCAAACCCCAGGTTGTGGAAGCTGCATGGACCATCCTCTTGTGCCTGAGGTGCCTGCCTGTAAAAGTGTGAGCAGGTGAATGACCTCTTGCAGCAGATAGATAAGCTGCAGAACACAGTGAGGAGGCTGCGGGGTATCAGGGAGGCAGAGCTGGATAATGCAATCCATGATCTCACTGCCAAGGGCACGCAGCCTGTGCCCAGTCAGCCAAATACTCCCGCAGCAGCACATGCGAGACACTGAGGGGGGGGAGCGGAAGATAGTACGTAGAACAACTAAAGGAGCAAGCAAGAGGAAGGGACTTCCCTCAAAGCCCGAGGTGCCTTTGAAGAACCAGTTCACTCCTCTGCAAACAATAGATGAGGAAAATAAGCACCCTCCACCAGTGCTGGAACAGAATAAGGTGGCTCAATCTGCTCCAAGTATAACAACCAGTACAACCAAGAAAAAGCGACGGGTGACAGTGGTGAGCAATTCTCTTCTCAGAGGCACAGACAAGACCAGCTCTCTAGAGAGGTCTGCTGTCTACCAGGTGCGCACATCAGGGATGTCACTGAGAGGCTTCCTAGACTCGTTCATCTGTCTATTACCCACTCTTGGTGTTTCATGTGGGGACCACAGATGCAGCCACCAGCAGTGTTAAGAATATTAAAAATGATTACTGGGCCCTGGGAGCAGCAATTAAGAACTCCAGAGCACAGGTGGTATTTTCATCAATCCTACCAGTCAAAGGGAAGGGGATAGATAGGCAAATTGGATCCAGCAGATCAACAGCTGGCTACGCAACTGGTGCTATAGCCAGAGTTTTGGCTACCTGGATCATGGGACCAGCTTTGACAAACCTGGGCTGATGGGGTCTACCTATCAGAAAAGGGAAAGCAACTTTGGCTGTAGGCTAGTGTGGGAAACACTTTCTTCCCCACATAAGTAAACAAAATGCCTTTTAAGTCAGCGAAGGCCTCTCCTGATTATTCCCAGCTAACGGACTAAACCAGACTTGCTTCTCAAGGACAACTGAAACCAAAGGCGGCGAGTGCAGCAGGTGGGTCCTTCCCTCCTCCCTGAGGCCCGTTCGGACGTTTTCTGTGTGGGACACCCCCCTGCTGCGGGCACTGGTGCTGGGACCCTGCCAGCCTGCCCGCCTGCCCCGGGTCGAGTCCGGGTCTTAGCGGTGAGCGTGCCGGGGTCCTGACCCCTGGGGTCCGGGCAGCAGCTCCCTACCCGTGTTGCTGCCGGTTGCCAGGGAAAAAAAACGCCGC